CAGTAACCACAAGGTAGAAAGGATGGGTCTGTTATGAGAGAGGTTAAGAAGCAAGGATTTACTAGTTTACTAAACAAGTGGGTGAACGGGCCGGGCGCGGTGGCTCACGCCTGTAATCCCAGCACTTGGGAGGCCCAGGCAGGCGGATCACGAGGTCAGGAGATTGAGACCATCCTGGCTAACACGGTGAAACCTCGTCTGTACTAAAGATACAAAAAATTAGCCGGGCGTGGTGGCAGGTGCCTGTAGTCCCAGCTACTCGGGAGGCTGAGGCAGGAGAATGGCGTGAACACAGGAGGCAGAGCTTGCAGTGAGCCAAGATTGTGCCACTGCACTCCAGCCTGGGCAACAGAGCGAGACGCCGTCTCAAAAATAAATAAATAAAACAATTGGGTAAACAAGAACTGAGGATGACTTCTAAGGTTTTAGCTTTAGATATTTAAGTGGGTGGTGATTCTACCAACATAAGGCCATCCTCTGTCTTCTACACAGAATGGCAGCTCTTGTTGCGCAAGCTGGAGTACAATGGCGCGATCTCGGCTCACTGCAACTTCTGCCTCCCGGATTCAATTGATTCTCCTGCCTCAGTCTCCTGAGTAGCTGGGATTACAGGCATGCACCACTACGCCTGGCTAATTTTGTATTTGGAGTAGAAGCAGTGTTTCAACATGTTGGTCAGGCTTGTCTCAAACTCTTGACCTCAGGTGATCCACCCACTTCGACCTCCCAAAGTGGTAGGATTACAGGCGTTAGCCTCCATGCCCGGCCTTTGTAATTTTCTTTTTTTTTTTTTTTTGAGGCGGAGTCTCGCTCTGTCGCCCAGGCTGGAGTGCAGTGGCGCGATCTCGGCTCACTGCAAGCTCCGCCTCCCGGGTTCCCGCCATTCTCCTGCCTCAGCCTCCCGAGTAGCTGGGACCACAGGCGCCGCCACCACACCCGGCTAATTTTTTTGTATTTTTAGTGGAGACGGGGTTTCATTGTGTTAGCCAGGATGGTCTCGATCTCCTGACCTCGTGATCCGCCCGTCTCGGCCTCCCAAAGTGCTGGGATTACAGGCTTGAGCCACCGCGCCCGGCCTGTAATTTTCATTTTAGAGAACAATCTACCTCTGAACGCTTGACTTTACAGTTGGCCAGGAAAGACAAACCAGTCACATTCCAAGTCTCACCGTGGCAAAGTTAAGGAGGTCTGGAACACTGGTCTGGAACACTGAGAGCCAATGTTTGCTTTCTTCCTCTGCTTTCTGTTTCTGTTTCTCTTTCTGTTTCTGTTTCTCCTTCTCCTTTCCTTTTCTCTCTCTCTCTTTTTTTTTTTTTTTTTTTGAGATAAAGTCTCGCTCTGTCGCCAGGCTGGAGTGCAGTGGCGCAATCTTGGCTCACTGCAACCTCCGCCTCCTGGGTTCAAGCGATTCTCCTGCCTTGGCCTCCGGAGTAGCTGGGACTACAGGCGCAAATCACTGCACTTGGATAATTTTTGTATTTTTAGTAGAGATGAAGTTTTACCAAGTGAGCCAGGCTGGTGTTGAACTCCTGACCTCAGGTGATCCACCCACTTCGGCCTCCTAAAGTGCTGGGATTACAGATGTGAGCCACTGCACCCTGTCTGCTTACTCTTTCTTTGAGACTGGGTCTCATAGTGAGACTCCATCTCTATGAAAAAAAAGACTGGCCAGGCGCGGTGGCTCAGACCCGTAATCCTCAGCCCGGGCTGAGACGGGCAGATCACAAGGTCAGGAGATCAAGACCAGCACGGCCAACATGATGACACCCGGTCTCTACTAAAAATACAAAAAAATTAGCGGGGTATGGTGGCGCAGGCCTATAGTGTCAGCTACTCTGGAGGCTCAGGCAGGAGAATCGCTTGAACCCGGGAGGCAGAAGTTGCAGTGAGCCGAGATCGCGTCATTGCACTACAGCCTGGGCGACAGAGCAAGACTCGTTCTCAAAAAAAAAAAAAAAAGAAAGAAAGAAAAAAATGATCACTGCTTTTACCTCACCCCCAGCCAATACAGGACAAGAATGATATTCTGAAATAAAGGAAAAAAGCCTAGGAATTGGCTACCATCCTCTTATAAAACCTTCCCCCAAACAACAGCAAAAAACTGCTGGGGTCTAGCCTATCCTATGCTGGAGTGTAGGAGAGATGAGGAAACATGGAGGTTCAAACAGTGCTTAGATGGGGAAAATGTGGGGAATGGAGAGGGAGGAAGGGAAGGGAGACTGCCTCTGTTGTGGCAGGAAATCCAAGAGTCATCTGGGACCACCCAGGCAGCAGTGGTGTGGGTGGGGGTACGTGTATGTGCATGTATGCACATCTGTGTCCTGGGGCTGGGGGCAGGCAGGCAGAGCGAAACATCTGCTCTGGACCCCAGCGCTGGCCTAGAGTGTGTATGGATGTGAGAGTCTGCAGGGCTGTGGGTAGATAGGGTGGGGATGGCGTGTGGGAGCCCAACAGGCAGGCAAGCTCTGAGAAACATCTGCTCTGGATCCTAGGACTTGCCAGTATTTGAAATAACTCAAGGGTGTGAGACTCCAACGTGGGCTCTGCCTTTGGGTATGGGCCAGGGCTGAGGGAGCCTACAAAATGCAAACTTCCCAGGGAAAAACAGACTGGAGTTTGACTCCTATCAAAGGGCTGCCATATGAAACCAGCCCTCAGTAAAGAAGAGTCATGCTGAAAAAAAATTTTTTTAATTAAAAAAAAAATTCTTTTGTTGGGACAGAGTGTCCCTCTGTCGCCCAGGCTGGAATGCAGTGGCGCAATCTCGGCTCACTGCAACCTCCACCTCCCAGGTTCAAGCGATTCTCCTGCCTCAGCCTCCCAAGTAGCTGGGACTATAGGCGCTTGCCACCACACCTGGCTAATTTTTGTATTTTTAGTAGAGATGAGGTTTCACTATGTTGGTCAGGGTGGTCTTGAACTCCTGACCTTGTGATCTGCCCGCCTCGATCTCCCAAAGTGCTGGGATTACAGGCGGGAGCCACCACGCCCGGCCTGCTGAAATTATTAATAAGAAATCATTCTGGCCAGGCACGGTGGCTCACACCTGTAATCCCAGCACTTTGGGAGACTGAGGTGAGCAGATTACTTGAGGCCAGGAGTTTAAGACCAGTCTGGCCTACATGGTGAAACCTGGTCTCTACTAATAATACAAAAATTAGCAGAGCATGGTGGCGCCCACCTGTAATCCCAGCTACTCGGGAGGCTGAGGCACGAAAATCACTTGAATCGGGGAAGCGGAGGTTGTAGTGATCTAGGATTGTGCCACTGCACTCCAGCCTGAGCAACAGAGTGAGACTCCATCTCAAAACAAAACAAAACAAAACAAAAAATAAAACTGCCCCCCGCCCCGCAAAAAAAAAATCCCAAGAGAATCATTCTTTTATGCTTCCTTAAGAAAGTGAGGATTTGATCCCATCTGACCCTGGCTATTGCCTCAAAGTGTGGATTCTGTATTGCTTTTCCATTAAATGGGCCTGGGTGCCTAAGCCCTCTCCCTGGAGGCTTGGCCAGATGATTTACTCAGTTTCCCCAGCCTTCTAGTTCTAACTTTTCTGATACTCCTGGTCATAAGTGATTTCTCCCTGCTTTCTCTTATACAACATAATCACAGGATGCTCTGTATTGTATTTTAGTTATTCCAGCACATATTTTACTTTCCTTGCTACTGAAAAATGAATCTTGTTTTAGCTGCTTTTGTAAACCCTGATGCATTGTCAAAAACACACATAGAAAGTTAACAATAAATGCTAAATAAACACATACAAAATCACAGACAAATATTCTATACAGCCAATTCACAGGGTCTACCATCTGCAGATGTCCATTTATGGTTGTGGGAGGGAACAGTGTTCCTAGATGCCCAGGTGTACAGACTCTGACCAGCAAGAGCCCCTCCAGCCCCAGGGCCAGGCCTACTAGAGCTCGGTAGCCAAGCTCCTCACCCCGTTCTTGTCTTGGGCTCACCATACCTGAGCAGCTATGGCCAGTGGCCACAACTTACCTTCTACCCAGAGCTGTTCCAAGTTTGTCTCAATAATGGCCACGCGGAGACCTAATGCCAGGGCCCCAAAGGCCAACAGTCCCAGAAAGAGCACTTTGCCACAGTGTCTCTGGATCCCGCAGCCCAGAGAAAAGAGCAGGCCCTGGAAGTAAGCACGAAGCCAGAGTGGAGCCTTCAGGCTCCCAGCTAGGATCTGGGATGGAAAGAGAAGGGTCAGCTAGGCATCACTGCAACAATGCATGAAATCCTTCCCTTCTCACCCTATATATCTGCTGCCCAGTCCTAGCTTCTTGATTTCTGGATGTGGGACAGGGAGCACCAACACAGACACAGGCCCATACTTGGAAGATGTAACACCCACCACCTCCAGCACACACCTGAGGAAGGCATAGGCCTATTTTCTTTTTTTCCGTTTTCTCTCTCTCTCTCTTTTTTTTTTTTTTGAGATGGAGTCTCGCTCTGTAGCCCTGGCTGGAGTGCAGTGGTGTGATCTCAGCTGACTGCAACCTCCGCCTCCCTGGTTCAAGAGATTCTCCTGCCTCAGCCTCCCAAGTAGATGGGACTACAGGCGCCCGCCACCACGCCCTGCTGATTTTTTATTTTTAGTAGAGACAGGGTTTCACCATGTTGGCCTGGCTGGTCTCGAACTCCTGACCTCAGGTGATCTGCCCGCCTCAGCCTCCCAGTGTTGGGATTACAGGTGTGAGCTACTGCGCCCGGCCGTCATAGGCCCATTTTCTGAGAGCAGGATACATATGTACACACACCTGTCGTCGGGTGGACAGAGGTGAACCCACAGACATTCTCACTGGCCAGACGAGGGGGAGACACAAGGACAGACACACCGACACACACGCACAACTTGCTTGCCGTGCTAGCTCTCGCTAGTGTCAGACACCCAATGACACTCGGCACTTGAAGACATCACAAACCTTGCAGAGGCCCGAGTGACAGACCTGGCCCCGCTTTTCCTTCTTCCAGCTCCCCCTCTACTCACCTGGGGTGCTGCGGTTCGAGCTGGGGGTGTGTAACTCGGGGGCAGCTCTCTGAGGGGCGGCGATCGAGTCATGCTGGCGGGGATGGGGGGCGCGGGCGCCCCCAACCCGCGTTATCTGGGCGCTCCCATAGGCTAGCCCGGTCTCCCAGTACCGCTGGGCCCCGCGTGGGGATTCAGTGGGGCCGCCAAGGCGCAGGCGTGGGAGAGACTGTGGGGTGCCGGTGTTAAGACGGCTGCGAGGGAGGAGTGCAGGGAGCTGCGGGCCCGGGGCGCGGCGCCGGGGTTCACCCGCTCTGTGGGCCGTGGGCCGCGGCGGCTGGAGGAGGAATGGGTTCCGCGCGCAGACGGAATTGCTGGCCCGAGACGCACAGCAGGGTTCGAGGTGGCGACTGCAGTGCCCGGGAGGCGGCTGGAGCTTCAGAAAAGGGAGCTGGCCGGGGCGACGCCCTCCCATTGGCTGAGGGGCCCGCAAATTACCCTAGCCGTGCGGCCGGGCCCGCTGCTAGGTAACGGCGCCGCAGGGGGCGGGGCAGGAGACCACCCAGGCTGGGCCACCCTGCGCCTCCCTCCCGCCCGCGGGGCCACAGGGAGGAGGAGGGAGGGAGATCCCGGAGAGGCGCAGCGCTGCCAAGTGTAAGTCCAGAGGCTGACGCTAAGAAAGGGCGTTTGCGGGCTCTGTTAGGGCTACACTTTTTTTTTTTTTTTTTAAGACGGGGTCTCACTCTGTCACCTAAGCTGGAGTGCCGTGGCTCCATCTCGGCTTGCAGCCTCCGCCTTCCAGGCTCAAGCCATCCTCCCACCTCAGCCTCCCAAGTAGCTGGGACCACAGGCATGCACCACCACGCCCTGCTTTTTGTATTTTTGGTGGAGAACAGGTTTCCGCCATGTTGCCCAGGCTGGTCTCAAACTCCCGAGCTCAGACTATCAGCCCACCTCAGCCTCTCGAAGTGCTGGGATGACAAGCGTGAGCCACCGCGCCTGGCCTAGGACCACACTTTCTTTTTCTTTCTTTTGTCTTCAGGCTTAATTCACTTTATTTTTCTTGTATAAAAACCCTGTGTTGTAGCCACAGCTGGAGCCTGGATCCTGTGCACGGAGACTCTGGTGTGGGTCTTGACGAGGTGGTCAGTGAATCGTGATAGGGAGTCTTGGTGAATACAGTCTCCTTCCAGAGGTCGGGGGTCAGGTAGCTGTAGGTCTTAGAGATGGCATCAAAGCGCGTAGGGCCACACTTTCTTTCCGACCCAATCAAAGCCCAAGATTTCTGTTCACTCTTCCTGGCCTCCATTCTTGCCCTCTTCAGTCCACTCTCTCCACTGAGACCAGAGTCATTTCTCTAACATGCAAATCTGATAGCTCCAAAGCACAAGGCCCACTTGGAGCACAGGGCCCTGTGTGATCTAGCTAGCTAAAGCCTCCTCTCCCATAGTTCCCTCACATCAGTGTTCCCTCGTTCCTACCTTTGCACATGTTTTGGCCCTTTTGTCTTGGCAGATAATCTTCAAAAAACTGAACTTGAATCACTGCTCCCCTCCCCCCCCCTTTTTTTTCTGAGGCAGGATCTCCCTCTGTTGCCCAGGTAGGAGTGCAGTGGCGCCTTCACAGCACACTGCAGCCTTGAGCTCCCAGTCTCAAGGGATCCTCCCATCTCAGCCTCCCAAACGGCTGGGACTATAGGTGTGCACCACCACACCCGGCTAATTTTTATAATTTTGTATAGACAGGGTTTCGCCATGTTGCCCAGGTTGGTCTCGAACTCCTGGGCTCACGTCATTTTCCCACCTGGGCCTTCCAAAGTGCTGGAATTATAGGCGTGAGCCACTGTACCCAGCCTACACCCTCTTTGAAACCTTCCTTGATTCATGTCTCTCTCCTGGCAGATAATTGCTTATTTGTGCTCTCTATAACAACTCAATTTATATATGTATAATTGCATTTATGACAAAATAACTTATGTACTTGAAAGTCTGCCTTCTTCACCAGACAATAAATAGGTGCTTAATAATTGTTGAGTGAGTCACTAAGAGTTGCAGAATTCAGGGTGTAAAGGATTGGAAACAGGGAAGAATAGAGGCAATAGTCCCTCTATTAAACTTTCAACTATCCTATTTGAGTGTGCTGTTTCTATTGGGTTCCTGACTGATAAACCCCAAGTGGCAGAGTTGGGTAAAATCAATATTCCAATATGTAAAGTTTGGGAAAGAGAAAAATAATCTACAATAAACTCATTTTTCTAACACAACTACTATTATCTCTGGCCAATTTCTTGGTCAGTTCTCCCAGACTTTAAAAAAAAATCATTACATCATAAATATTTCATGTTACTACATAGTTTTTTTTTTTTTTTTGAGACAGAGTCTTGCTCTGTCACCCAGGCTGGAGTGCAGTGGCCGGATCTCAGCTCACTGCAAGCTCCGCCTCCTGGGTTTACGCCATTCTCCTGCCTCAGCCTCCCAAGTAACTGGGACTACAGGGGCCCGCCACCTCGCCCAACTAGTTTTTTGTATTTTTTTTAGTAGAGACGGGGTTTCACCGTGTTAGCCAGGATGGTCTTGATCTCCTGACCTCGTGATCCGCCCGTCTCGGCCTCCCAAAGTGCTGGGATTACAGGCTTGAGCCACCGCGCCCGGCCACTACATAGTTTTTGTAATCAATCATTTGGAGAATATCCTCAGGACAGATTCCCAGAAGTGGTGTTGTTTGGGTCAAAGAGTATGTACATTTTTATGGCTCTTGCTACACACTGCTCAACTGATTTTTGAAAGCTTGTGCTAATTAACATCATCTCTAGCACCTCAGTCCTGGGGAAGAGGAACATTTAGGTTGAGGGGGTGAACACCTAAGGGGTTTGCCATTTCCATTTGTCCATTCACCCAGAAAAATGCCTATGGAGGAACTAATATATGTATGATGCTATTGGCCAAATAGTAACTGCACATGAAAAGCAGCCTACCTGAATAGTACTTTCTTCTCCCTGTTATACAGTGTGTCCTGCTGAGGATAAAGTGGCATGGTAGCTCACACTTGTAATCCCAGCACTTTGGGAGGCTGAGGCGGGAGGATTGCTTGAGGCCGGGAGTTCAAGCCCTGGCAACATAGTGAGACCTCATCTCTACAAAAAAATAAAAAATTAGCTGGGTGTGGTGGAGCACACCTGTAGTCCCAGCTACTTGGGAGGCTCAGGCAGGAGGGTTGATTGAATCCAGAAGGTAGAGGCTGCAGCGAGCTGTGATTGTGCCATTGCACTCCAGCCTGGGCGACAGAGTGAGACCCTGCCTCAAAAAAACAATAATAATGATAACATAAAAAATTTAAGGTTAAAAAAAAAGTGTATCCCTAGCAAGTCTCTGAAATAGAAACAGCTAGAAAGAGCCTAGCAAGTCTCTGAAATAGAAACTAAACGACAGTCTGTATGGGCTCCTAGTTTGCTCTTGGGGCAACAGCTGAAGACAGGGAGAAGCCTGGAATCAGCACTGGTTGTCATCAGGAGTGCAACTCCTGATGCTATGCTTTAAGTAGCTCTTGATCTCCTTCCTTTTTTACCAGACTCTGCAAGACATAAGGTCCTTGGAGAAATAGATTTGTAACCACTTGGGCCTTGGGACTCTGCTTTCATCATAGGCCCATCACTGCTAACAATTGTGGCAAAGTTGATCATTCTATGGATGCTTTCAAGGCAAAGTCTGTTATTAAGGAAACCTCTTGCCTTATAGTTGAAAGACTAGGGTGGGAGAAATGGGTCTACAGTTTCCAGCCTTTCCAACCTAGGGCCTAGTGCTGTCTGGCTGCTCCAAGCTACAAAATGACTTCTCTTCTCCCAAACAAAATGGTTTCCTGAGCCCAGCTAAGCCTAAACTAGACATATTCTCCAAATAACAGGAGAAAAGCAATCTAATTAAATCTCATTACTGACTCATGAGACAAACGTGTCTTGGGATCTCTTTTTAAAATTTTTTTAATGAGACAGGGTCTCACTCTGTCACCCAGGCTGCAGTGCAGTGGCACGATCTTGGTGCACTGCCACCTCCACCACCAAGGCTCAAGTGATCCTCCCATCTCAGCCTCCCAAGTAGCTGGGACCACAGGCACGTGACACCATGCCTAGCTAATTTTTTGTATTTTAGTAAAGACAGAGTTTCACCGTTTTGCCCAAGCTGGTCTTGAACTCTGAGCTCAGGAAATTCGCCCGCCTCGGCCTCCCAAAGTGCTGGGATTACAGGCGTGAGCCACCGCGCCCAGCCTTGGGATCTCTTGTGTGTCCATTCCTTTGCTGGGTTCTGGTGTTGCAGGGTACCTGCTTTAAAGTTCATAGCCTGAGGGGGAGCACAGAGACCACAGGGGAAACCACTGAGTTGGGGGTACTCAGGGATGTTTCCAGAAGTGAAAGGAACTGGATGGGGGAGGTGGGAGGATGACAGAGTCTAAAACGAAAAGGAATGGCTCATGGTCTGGATCTTTTGTTTGCTGGTTGTGAGATCTTGGGGAAGTCACATAATCTATGACATTAACATAAGGATTAAATGAGATAATCCATATGGCTGAGGAACAGTGCCAGGAAAAGTGGGGTGGACCACACTCACACACACACAGTGCTGGGTAAAGTGACCAGTCTGGCTTCAGGGGTGGGTTCATGTGGGAGTTAATTCATGGTGGACGCAAGGCAGGCTTTCTTTCTCTGGCATTCCTCTAGGCTTCTCACTCACCAGCTTTTGGCAGCTTCTGTTATCTAGGCCAAGCAGAGTCAATGACCCTGAGATGTGGAGGAGGGAAGTGGGGGTCCTGGGCAGCCCCATCACCACCTGTTACATTTAGGGGCCAAGCCTGGGTGTGTATGCTCCTTCCCTGTGGACAGGCTGAGGCCAGTAGCATGTATCAAGTATTTGTGTGTCTGAGATGGATTTTGCTCTTGTTGCACAGGCTGGAGTGCAGTGGTGTGATCTTGGCTCACTATAACCTTCACCTCCTGGGTTCAAGCAATTCTCCTGCCTCAGCCTCCTGAATAGCTGGGATTACAGGCGCCTGTCACCATGTCAGGTTAATTTTTTGTATTTTTAGTAGAGATAGGGTTTCATCATGTTGGCCAGGCTGGTCTTGAACTCCTGACCTCAGGTGATCTACCCGCTTTGGCGTCCCAAAGTGCAGGGACTACAGGCGTGAGCCACTGTGCCTGTCGCACTTATCAAGTATTTGGTACCAGGGCTGCAAGCAGAGATTAGGGAATGGTCCTTCACTTTAAGTGTGGGGGAAGGAGAGAGGCTAAGAACAAATGCAGCCTCTTTCCATTTATCCATGGCAGAAAGCCCCCTAATGCAATCATCCTGGGTAGTGGCAGATGGCTCAGGCCAAGGACAGGTCATACTGGCTTCCAATAGAATGTGTTCTCCTGCCCAGTCTCTCCCTCCGGGTCAGCTTCATTAGAGCAGAGCTTTCTAGACTTTCTGTCTGGGTGGTCCTTTCCATGGGCCTCCCCCTTCTTCAGACATATTTAACTACTTAGAAAGCTGCATACAAAGGCCTGGTTTATGTACCTCCTTAGGAGTAGGGATAGCTATGGATAAAGAAAGTGTATCCCCTGCAATTCTCTGGAAATAGAAACAACTTCTCAACTAGGCCATGAAGGCCCTAGATTCCTGTTGGGGCTTCAGCTAAACACAATTTCCCTCCCTCCATTGGTTATGGAAGTGGGATGGTAATAATAATGTAGTAATAGTA